CATCATCATCATTATTATTATTAAAAAGTGACTTACATCACAATCTCCTTTGACATTACATAGGCTGTCAGCTGGAGGTTCAACCTTTCTTAGCCTCTTGAACATTTGTAAATTCCTCTCAAACGTTCTGTGACACAAAACAAGTAATAATAATGTTATGTCAAAGTTAAAATGGAAATGGAGAAATGAAAGTAAGGATAGATAGACTGTTGGATAGATGGATAGCAGTAATACTGAATTGCAAAAAAACCTAGCTCTATAAGGTTGCACTGCAGGAATCCTTGTAAAAGCTCACTGGCTTATTCTGCATTACAGGTGGTTAGGGTTGGGTAGTATTGGGGTAGACCTTTCCCATTCCTGAAAAGAACTAACCAGGAATGTCTACAGTGCAGGCAGGCTACACTAGGCTGTCCCACATCTGATAACAGAGTACAGCTGATTGAAACAGCGTGGGTTTTTGGAGTGACAACCAAGTATAACCCAAATCCTCAAAGCAAAGGAGAGAACTACTCAACAAAACCCAAATATTGCATCCAAGAACTGACTTTTCCCAAATTTGCTTGAGGGACCACGAAACAATGATTCCCAGTCAAGCTTGGACTTGATGTGTTCATACATAAATTTACTGTATTTTTATCAAGTTCCAGGTGATCTGGTTTTGACAGTCCATCAAAAACCAGCCAATCATCATACAGGAAGAAATCTGATCAGGCGGTCCATTGAAGAAAGCGGCTGAAGTCAGAAAAAATTACTCTGAATCATTGCTTCCCTACTTATGTTATGGACTAGCAACACATTTAAAATTCTACCTATTCTTATAACGAATACCTACATGTATGGGTCAAATGGTGCTTTGCGGTTTCAATTATTTTATGAAAAATATCGTTTAAACAATAGCTATTTGTTCGCTGATAAACAACTGAAACTAGAACAGTGTGATCAACTACGACAATCCTTTGCGCGTGTTCCTCTATATCAACATTGTTTAATCTCGGAGCGGAACTGTATTTTGTGGTCACCCATTAAGTGAATTTAGGAAAGGTCTACACTGTAGATCTACGTGTAGAGACCAAAGATGAGAGGTAATAATAATTACAGCTCATAGACACATACCATCGTCATACTTTTCAAATGCAATGCAAAGAGTTTTAATGGTAGTATGAAGGAAAAATGCAGCTTGTATTGAAAATAAGTTACCTTCCTCTGAGATGAACAACTTTATCAAACTCTCTGTTTTTCATGGCTTTCTGCACTTCAAGAGTCTAGAGATTCAATTGGGTCACATTAGCATTTAGATTTCAGCTTTAATTTGACCTTGCAATTGATGGTTTGCTGCTGGCCATTATTCATATACCAAAAGGGAATTAAGTTTAAGAATTTACAGTAAATAATTCAAAAAAAGTTTACACATCTTGATACCTTCTCAACACATTCCATAAGTGGTTTCTTGACAATTTTATTGCCATCAAGGCAGATGACGGATGGAGGAGTGTATGAGTTTGCTTCCAGCACAGCAAGGGCTGCCTCGGCACCCATGCGGCAAGACTGTAAGAAAAACAATATATTATAGAAAAATTCTCTTTACACATTGTTCACTCAATACATAGAGGATATTACATGGGCGCGTGGAGATACGAAATTTATCTTCGAGTGTTGAAAAGATCTCTCACGAGTGAGCGTAGCGAACGAGTGAGAGATTTTCAACACGAGAAGATAAATTTCGTATCTCCAAGCGCCCATGTAATATTCTGTTTATGATATAATTATCAATGAAAGTATGTTTTGGCTTTTTCAGGCAATTCTTTCCGTGTATTTTTGAATAGCCATCGCAATGGTGTTATCTTCACACGTGAAAATAACATGTTATTTTCACGTGTGAAGATATCAATTTTTCGAAATAGAGAAAAATAGATATTTCATTGGTAATTATATAATAAAGTACATTATTCCTGGAACTGCATGGAACGATGTGTGCAGATTAAGGCAAAAATTATGGTACTGTAATAAAACTAGGATTACAAATTATTTTTATTTAATAACTATATCAAATGCATGAAAGAGTCGATTTCCAAACACTGAGAAGTGAGTTGAAAAAATGAGGCAGAGCTGAGATTTTTTAACCAACTTACAGCCATCCTCAATTACAGGTCACGTGCTTGGTTACCGCGTAGCAACGCCATGTTGGGACGCAAGCGTCCCAAGCGCCATATTGAAATTATAGCGTGACGAAGCCATACTTGAAGTTTTATATTCAATTTATTTGCGATCTGTTCGAATCTGTTTTAGTATTAGTCAATTTTCTTAAAGTTATTAGTCTC